CCATGGTAATAACCTCTATTCATCATATAGTTCATTCATTCGTAGTTTGAGGAGATGTCGCCTGTTTTACTGCTCTCTGTGATCCAATACTATTTTAACTAACTCCTCTAGGTCGAAGTCGCTATGAAGATGTGGGAGGATGATTTAGCGTTCTACCTAATTCTAATTTTTTAGCTTATGCAATGGTAGCGCACAGTATTTGGTTCAGGTTAAATCAAACTAGGGTCATTTCCTCGTTGTAGCTTTCTCGCTATAAATTTACTATACTTTTCCCGACCAGTAAACGGACTACACAAGATTACGGCACTGCACCTCTGACCCTCTTTGCTTTTAGTGTTGCCACTGTTGTTGCTGCTGCTAAGTTTGAAATCGTTTACATCATCGACTTCTGGATCGACTAACGTCACAAAAAAGGCACTCACAACTGTGCTAAATGTTTTTTTTAGACTGTTTATAGAAATTTGACCGAATTTTCAACAAACCTTTCCTTTTCGCTTTATCGAAGTTTATTTAGTATTTGTTGTTATTTGCAGCAAGAAGATTGTGAGATCACGACTTTTAGTCGTGTGATAGACGAAAAGAACTTCATAACTGTTTTTAAAGTTATGTAAAGGAAGAGAAAAACTTGTCTTTTGCGATCACACTTATTTTTAGATTATTAAGCCTTCACTCTTTAAAATAGAAACAATGACTGCAACTATATCCGGTAAAATGGGTATTGAAGATGTTGATTTAAATGGCAAACGTGTATTGATGCGTGTTGATTTTAATGTACCAATTGAAAATGGTCAAGTTAAAGATAAACAACGAATTGAAGGTGCACTACCAACAATCAACTATGCTATTGAAAAAGGAGCCAAATCTGTTATATTAATGTCACATTTGGGCCGTCCTGATGGACAAAAAGTCGATAAATATAGTCTGAAACCCGTTGCTGAAGAATTGAAACGATTGTTGCACAAAGATGTTAAATTTCTGACTGATTGTGTCGGCGATGAAGTGGAACAAGAATGCTCAAAAGCAAGGGGTGGACAAGTGATATTACTAGAAAATGTCCGTTTTCATCTCGAAGAAGAAGGCAAAGTGAAAGATAAAGATGGAAAGAAAACAGAAGCAAAACAAGAAGATATTGAAAAATTTCGTCAGAGTTTATCAAAATTAGGCGATGTTTGTATGTAATAAAGATTATACTTTTGTTCACATTGTCTTATTTTTTTTGTCTAATTAAAGATATCAATGATGCATTTGGTGCTGTAAGTAAAGAATATTCAAAATTTTTACGTTCTTTTATTGTACTGATTTATGTTTTAGGCTCATCGAGCACATAGCTCGGTCGTTGGTTGTACGTTAGAGATACGGGCTGCTGGTTATTTGATGAAGAAAGAATTGGATTATTTCGGTAAAGTAATCGAAAAACCAGATAAACCATTTTTAGCTATATTAGGTAAGATTCAACTTTTTTTGATTGTTGTAAAAATGTTTAATGGCGTATTTCTATTACAGGAGGTGCAAAAGTTGCAGATAAAATAAAATTAATTGAAAATCTATTAGAAAAAGTGAACGAAATGATCATTGGAGGAGGTAACTGAAAGTTTTTGTCCGCAAGATAAAACTGTAAAATCATGTGTCTTTGTAATTAGGAATGGCATTTACATTTTTAAAAGTGTTGAGACATATGGAAATTGGTAAATCATTGTTCGATGATGAAGGTTCAAAAAATGTTGAAACAATTATGAATAAAGCTAGAAGCAAAAATGTTCAAATTCATTTACCATACGATTTTATTACGGCTACTGATATGAAAGACGATGCACAAACAAAAGAAGCGACCATTGATCAGGGTATTAATAAAGATTATATGGGGTTAGATATTGGTAAAAATTCCATCAGAGAATTTTCAGATGTTGTTAGACGAGCTCGAACAATTGTATGGAATGGTTAGTAGAGCTAAACTTTTTTTATGTAAATGAAAATTTTTTACCTTATTTTTTTATTTTTCAAGGGCCAATGGGTGTATTTGAGAAAAAAACGTTTGAACATGGGACAAAAAGTTTAATGGAAGCGGTTCTTGAACGATCAAAAGATCCATCAGTGACATCTATCATCGGCGGTGGAGACACTGCCACAGCTGCATTAAAATATGGAGCTGAAGGAAAAGTTAGTCATATTTCAACTGGTGGAGGTGCAAGTTTGGAACTTTTAGAAGGTAAAGAACTGCCCGGCGTTTCTGCATTAAGTCAGCGTAATAAACAAAAACATTAGGTATTTTTATTTCTCTTCGAACTAACCAAGCTAGTCATAAGCACAATTTTTAAACTATGTTAAAAAAGATTTTTTGTTTGTTTTTCTTTTACTTTATATTTATTGTGAATCGTCCAGTTTATGTTGATTACTATGCAGTTGATAAATATTTTTTTATTGGTTTAGAAACTTAGAATAAAATTCATTCAGTCTCAACTTTGTTTATTCTTTGGCATTATAAATTTCATAAATAGTTTCAATCTCTTAAACAATGGTCAGATGATTGAAATAGGTTGCTCTGTCTTAAAAGTACAGTAAAGAACTAACAAGAGTTTTATATTTTTTCTAGATTGAGTTTCTTACCACTTCAATTTAAATTGCATTCTATTCGTTGTTGTTGTCAAATAGCAACAACTAATAATGTCTCAACCAACATCAGC